ATACTATCATGCAAGAGGAGCCACACATCTATTGTTCATCCAATAAAATCAGCAGACTTCTAGATGTTACTACTGCTCGGCTTAGACTCGGTTACAAGTATCTGGGAATTCTCATTATCTGCCGATGTAGACCTGACCAAATGTAAACTGTGTCAACAAAATTATTCGCACACCCTCCGTCACTATGTGATGGAGTGCGAAAAGATACGTGAATTCAGAGACAATTCTATATCAAATGTTCCAGCGATGTGTAAATATTTCATTAAAAATTATCTGCTACCAGAAATTTTAGCCAAATATCCCCAGTTTGCTAACTGTAGGTAGTAGCTGAGTGATTGTAACCTATCCACCGCTGCCCACTGGATGGGGGGCGGTGTGCAGGACAAACATATCAATTGTGACACTAGCTCTCCACATGTCAGTTGCTTAATTTAGAACCTGTACTTTTGGTCGATCTCGAACCCACTGATTATGTGTCACGTATAGAATTTTGTATCTAGCTTATCAAGATTGTAACTTGCTTAGCTAAATAAATTGTGGGGTTCAGTCCCTGAGCCCATTATGTGCCTCTGTAACCCTTTCCACTACCGCCCACAAGATGGGTATTGGGTGCATAATAAATGAACTAAAGATGGTCATATCGAGAGAGTAGCGGTAAGGCGCATAGGCGAACAGACACGGTACGGTAAGGGGCGGTTGACACTGTCCAACCTGTCCTCTTAAAAAGAACATCGCTTTTGGCCGTTTGCCAGTATGGCCGAATTTGGACGTAATTTGAAAATGAAAAAAAATGAAAATAAATTTGGGATTTTTTTTTTCATCAACAGTAAGTTAAGGGTCCTCTGGTAGGTTAGGTGGGCAGGAATTTCTCAAAGTTTCAAAACGTGAATTGAAAGTCATCTATTCTAACCTTACAGAGTCGGCCGGACGACTCAAAACAGAAAACGGAACAGTACGTCACTTTTGTGAGTCGATTTCATTTCAAATTACGTCCAAATTTGGCCATAGTGCGCATACGAGCGACAAGTGACGTTATTTTTAAGAGGACGGGTTGGACACAGTGGTGATGAGGAAGGGTACACACAGCAGCCTGCACTGTATCAGGGACAGTGCCAGAAGTAGAATCCAGGGGCCAGATTCACGAAAGCACTTACGCAAACACTTACGAACGTGTTCATCTTTCCTCAATCTTTGACGGCTTTGGTTACATTTATTAAACAGTTTACAAGCATGAAAACTTGCCAATTAACTGTTGTTATTGTTATAAACAGCCTCCTGGTGCTTCGGAGCTCATTAACTGTTTAATAATTGTAAACAAAGCCGTCAAAGATTGAGGAAAGATGTACACGCTCGTAAGTGATTGCTTAACTGCTTCGTGAATCTGGCCCCAGGTCAGCCTACTCCATGACCGAGGTGGCAGGAGATGCAGGAACAAAGACACAAGTGGAAATAGGATTGAAACCTTACCCGCTGCAGAAGTATAGGAACCAGGTGCCGGATTCATTAAGCTTAGTTACCCCCACCCACCTACTTACCAACCTATATGACCCATATCAACCTGTCCTCTTAAAAAGAACGTCGCCGTTTACCAGTATGGCCGAATATGGATGTAATTTGAAAATGAAAAAAAAATGAAATTAAATTTGGGATTTTTTTTTCAGCAACAGTAAGTTAAGGGTCCTCCGATAGGTTAGGTGGGCAGGAAAGTCTCAAAGTTCCAAAACGGTTTGAAAAACGTTAATGGAAAGTTGCCTCTTAACCTTGCAGAGTAAGCCGGACGACTCAAACATAAAACGGAACAGAACGACACTTTTGTGAGTCGATTTCATTTCAAATTACGTCCAAATTTGGCCATAGTGCGCATACCAGCGAAAAGTGACGTTATTTTTAAGAGGACGGGTTGCCATATCATCCAGAAATGGGAAGGGATTGACCTTCCCAATCACATCAAAGGCTGTACCTCTCTCGACCAGTTTAAGATAAAAACTAAGTACTACCTAATAAACTCCATGTAACCTGCCTGTTATGAATACATACATACACACACACACGTATGATCATACTGTGGCTGGTGTATGATGAGTTAATGTTGTATAATGATATCCAGGCCGATTAGCCTAGAATCACATATTACCAAAAGTTTGTGCCATGTATTTGTGGAGATATTGGAAGTATAAGAAATAGCAGAAGCCTAATGTTCTGTATGTTGCAAAATACCATTATGTCTAGTATGAAATTCTATGTATTGTTGTACATGACATGCTATGCGTATTACGATGTAGAATGTATACATATAGATACATGTAGATATTGATTGGTATGACTAGCATGTATACTGTGATATATCAATTTCATTACTGTTCAATGCATTAGCTCTTGCCATGTTGTTAACCGATATGAGGATGGTAAACTGATATTCTGGTATTGTGAGATTTATACCACAGAGGCAAGTAAGTAATTATCAAAAAGAAGGCACCAAACCTGGAAGGCTATGTAGCACCATCAAATGTGCGGGATAATCAGAGAGCGCTAAATATCACCAAGGAAGCCAAGACGAGAACAGAAAGCCTGGAAGAACAGGAAGCCTGGCGTTCGGCGAGCGCTTTGTCATGGGTTCGTATCCTGGCCGGGGAGGATTTACTGGGCGCAAATCCTAACTGTAGCCTCTGTTTAACTCAACAGTAAAATGTGTACTTGGCTGTAACAACGATTCTTCGCGGCGGGGATCGTATTCCAGGGACCTGCCCGAAACGCTACGCGTACTAGTGGCTCTACAAGAATGTAACAACTCTTGAATATATCTAAAAAAAAAATAACGCATAAGGCGAACAATATCAAAAGTATCCGAGACCACAGAGGCAAGGTTTTAGTAATTATGTTGGTATATGATGCTTGTTTATATTCATGTATACTTATGTATTAACGGTTGACCGGTAACGTCTTTGAAATTCTCCCTGAAACCCTCCTCCTCCCCCTTCCCCCTTGGCTTACCGTCTCCAGTGTTACCATATCTTGTAGATATGAATTCTGTTAATTATTTTTTGTACCTCATTATGAACTGTCTTATGTATCTCTTGTGTATTGATTCAGTGACTTTTCATGTAAGGTTGTATATTTAAATACTTATTCAGTACTGTATGATCTAAGAGTTATTGATTGGTAAATGGTTTGATATAAGCTTGTGAGATTTGAAGGTTAAGCATCGGTGTTGACTTCCCGAGTTGGAAATAATGTGTCAAGCGGCCGCCGGCCCTGAGGCGTCACTAGACGAGTGCCGCTGCCCAATAAACTCGCCCCTCGGGGCAAAATTTAAACAAAATCTTTGATTTCTCAGACGGACGGACGTGTGATGTTCAGCTCTTGCTTTACGTGCCCTTTTGTGTTTATTTACTACTAATATATATAATATTATGTTGTATCTGTCTTGGATAATTTCCACCGATGTACATCATTTGTGCCAGGTGGTTTTATGTATACATATTGAGGTGGGTACCCGAGGATCTTAATTGATGCTATTGTGCTTCGATAAGATATCGATTCCTCAACCCTACTAATTAATGAGTGTGACACCACCATCCTGTAATTGTGTTTGCAGCATACTAGAGGCTAGTGTACCACTGCTCGAGGCTAGTGTACCACTGCTCGAGGCTAGCGTACCACTGCTCCAGGCTAGTGTACCACTGCTCCAGGCTAGTGTACCACTGCTCCAGGCTAGTGTACCACTGCTCCAGGCTAGTGTACCACTGCTCCAGGCTAGTGTACCACTGCTCCAGGCTAGTGTACCACTGCTCCAGGCTAGTGTACCACTGCTCCAGGCTAGTGTACCACTGCTCCAGGCTAGTGTACCACTGCTCGAGGCTAGTATACCACTGCTCGAGGCTAGTATACCACTGCTCCAGGCTAGTGTACCACTGCTCCAGGCTAGTGTACCACTGCTCCAGGCTAGTGTACCACTGCTCCAGGCTAGTGTACCACTGCTCCAGGCTAGTGTACCACTGCTCCAGGCTAGTGTACCACTGCTCGAGGCTAGTGTACCACTGCTCCAGGCTAGTGTACCACTGCTCCAGGCTAGTGTACCACTGCTCCAGGCTAGTGTACCACTGCTCCAGGCTAGTGTACCACTGCTCCAGGCTAGTGTACCACTGCTCCAGGCTAGTGTACCACTGCTCCAGGCTAGTGTACCACTGCTCCAGGCTAGTGTACCACTGCTCCAGGCTAGTGTACCACTGCTCCAGGCTAGTGTACCACTGCTCCAGGCTAGTGTACCACTGCTCCAGGCTAGTGTACCACTGCTCCAGGCTAGTGTACCACTGCTCCAGGCTAGTGTACCACTGCTCCAGGCTAGTGTACCACTGCTCCAGGCTAGTGTACCACTGCTCCAGGCTAGTGTACCACTGCTCGAGGCTCGAGCCAGGTGTCAGCTAGTCCCGAGGTTGTGCAGATTAAGGCATGTTGATGATTTTGAAGAGTTTTAAGAAGCTGGATAATATGACAGTATGAATTGTAGAGAACTGTACTTTATTATTATTTTTACGTGACCTATGTTATATGCCGCAGTAAACTGGAGTGTTTTTCCTAGCCTTTTTACTTAACCCTAGACAAGTATTGATTTTGGCCAGGCTATGGATTCCAGTGATGCTGTGGAGCATGAGGTCATGACATGTCCCCAGAGGTTCCCCTATAACAGTCTCCGTGGTGTAGTGGTAAGACACTCGCCTGGCGTTCCGCGAGCGCTATGTCATGGGTTCGTATCCTGGCCGGGGAGGATTTACTGGGCGCAATTCCTTAACTGTAGCCTCTGTTTAACGCAACAGTAAAATGTGTACTTGGATGAAAAAACGATTCTTCGCGGCAGGGGATCGTATTCCAGGGACTTGCCCGAAACGCTACGCGTACTAGTGGCTGTACATGAATGTAACAACTCTTGTATATATCTCCAAAAAAAAAAAAAACAAAAAAAAAAAAACAAAAAAAAAAAAGTAGAGGAACCAGGGGCCCGATTCATTAAGCCCAGTTACCCCCACCTACTTACCAACCTATATGACCCATACCTTCCCGATATGGGAAGAGATTGACCTTCCCGATCACGTCAAAGTCTGTACCTCTCTCAACCAGTTTAAGAGAAAAACTAAGTACTATCTAACGAACTCCGTGTAACCTACCTTAACCCCCTCCCCCTTAATGTCAACACATGTCTTGCTATTTTCAAACAATACTGTTTGATGACCAACTTGTGCAACTACTGATTTACGGCACGATTTACGATTTTCTTCCCCCCCCCCCCATTTTTCCCTTTTTCAACTCAATTTATGCTTTGATCTCAATTAGTATTAAGTTTAAGTCTAAGTGTTTTTATAAGTAAGTGTTTTTCTCCACACCTTGCCCGAAACGCTGTGCATATTAGTGGCTTTGGGCACTGTATGTACTAGCTCTATCTAGAAATCCAACATTATGTTTGTAACTTATCTTGTATGTATTTTTACCCGAATTGACAATTGATTTGATTTGTATACATCTCTCAATCTTTGGCGGCTTTGCTTACATTAATTACACAGTTTGAGCTCGAAGCACTAGGAGGCCCTTTTATGATGAAAACCCTTTCTCTTATGATGATGATTTGATTGCGAGGTTTCGAGGTTTGTAAACTGTTTCATAAATGTAAACAAAGCCGCCGAAGACATGCTTGTTTAATCCTGGCCCAGGTTTACATTTTCGACAGATGCGTGACTCTGAGCTTTTATTCTATGCATATTTTCGGTCACGGTTCAAATAAAACTGACAATTTAATCTTTTGACCTTGGAGAGGTCATTCGATGTCAACCTGATCTTTGTTTTGTCAAACAATGCAATAATTGGTATAAATGCGTATAGCAAATTTTCCTTTTCCTTAAGTTTAGGAGATACATTAATTGTAATGGACCCAACTAAGGTCCAATAGCATGTAGTTCCTAAACTAAGAGAACACCCTAGAAAGTTATAAACTGTATATACTAATACACACATTTATACCAAGTATTTCATCGAGTTGAAACCACAGGGTTGACGTCAAATTAATGACCTTTCCAGTTTCAAAATTTTAAATTAAAGGTTAATTTTATTTGAACCCTGATTTAAAATATGCATAGAATAAAGGTTGGAGAGCCCCTCAAGATCTTCAAAATGGTATTTAAATTATGTGCCATAGGAGCCCCATCATGGAAAATTTACCCATTTTGTTAAATTCAAGGCCTCGGATCTCCAGAACCGTTGTAGCTACAAATGCGAGACAAAACAACAACTATTTCTCTCACCGAGATCTATAAGTGTACCAAATGGCATCAACTTCGAAGTGTATGCCAGAAAATTTGCCCAAAAACGGAGTGAAGTGACATGGACTGTCATTTATTTTGCACATACAACACTAGAAGAGGGAGGGGGAATCCGAGGCGACGCCCACTGACCCCAGGGAGTCGTACGTGAGCCCCCTCGTCACAAGGGAAAACTCTTACGTGGGGATCAGCGGGTAACATGTCCTCAGAGAGATATTGACTTTGAAGTCAATATCCTAGAGGTATTGACTTCAAAACCACTACGTGGTGAGTGCTATTATCTACTCCCTATCAATGGTTAGGATAGGTTAAGTTGACGTTTCATTATGTTTAGTTACGTTAATATAGTGGATTATCCTCAGTGTGTGAAATATGGAACTTGAAAACTGTGTGTATACCCTAGAATTTCATTTAGAGAAAACCAAATTCTTCATTCAGTTTCCAATACATCAAGTTTACCTTATACTTGTTATATTTTAACCCAACGATTTATAATACAATCAAGTTATAACTTGAGAACATTCTCCGTTTAGCACAAAGGGTCACTTGCCAATTTACAAATAGACTACAAGACTGAGGTCTTGTTGTAATGGATTTACTCTAAGAATGGGCTGGAAGAGGGATAATGTAGGGACCCTCCTCAGGAAGGGGAAATAGTGTAGGGCCCCTCAAGGAAGGATGAGGAAAAGCAAGGTCTTCCATAACTGTAGCACCAAGGACCCTACTGGAGGGTCCCCTGCCTCACCACTGGAGGGTCCCCCCTCCACTTGTAGCACTTCATCAGTAGTTGATGTGTTCAGCAAGTACCCAGAACTTTATGCATCAATAAGTTGAAGTTTTTGTATCACCTGAGTCACTGCCGTTGCTACTGGGTCCTTGTATCTGAGCAGGACCGGCTCGTCCACTGTAGAGTCGGGCGCTTTGCACGCATCACCACAGCTGTACTTATAGTGACCGAGGTAGGCCACGGAGGTGTCCACTGTATGCACTTTGCACTTATCTGAAACACGAGGAAATGTCAACGCCTCATGATAATGCCAAGAGATTGTAAGCTAAATTTATAATTAAGGAACAAAATTTTAATATCCTAAGTACTGGACTCTGAATTTTAAGGGGAATATTGATTTTGTTACTAGCATTATCATGCAGGGAGGGGAATTTGCCAGCAGGGCAAATAAAGGAGTCAACCCATCCTCTATCCTAAGCTATAAGTCAAATATTGACTTGCGTTGATTATGTCACTATATATTTGATTCATATACTGTATTTTGAACCACAATGACCATTGTTTTGATGATGGGCTAAATGTAACAGCCAAATGTCCGGCACAGCTTCACAACTTAAGTGTCATTTATGTAGGGCAGTAAAGGCAAGTTTAATGGTTGCTGACCTGGTTAATGATAGTTGTGTAGACAATGCATAGAAAACCTGTCAAGTTCTTACATTCGCTTCAGTTCGGGAAAGTGAGAGCATGAAGATAATCAGATAACAATGTGAAAGATGATGGCCACTGGCACGGAAGGTACACACAACGTGCAGACGATCTGTCGCAATAACGTGGCTGTTGGTGACCAAACCACACAACTGAAGATGGAGGAACGACAACGTTTCGGTCCGTCCTGGACCATTATCAAGCCCTATCACATTCGCATAATCAAGCCGTATACATACAACGTAGCACCCGGATAGGAAGTCGAATATCTCCCTAACACGAGGGAGGATCTAAACATTTATAGGCGAAGTGGATGATCTAGACATTTCCTAAGTAAAGGTGTTAGGCAAGTCTGAAGCAAACTTGGTACACATAGCCATCAGAAGTTGCTATTACAGAAGATAAGAAATACCCATAAACCAAAATGTAAGGATGGGTTTACGTATTTACATATCCCCAGACCTTACAGTGAACCTGCCTAAGAAACACAAAGAATCAAGACAAACTAAATGTTTTAAGAAACGCGGATCAAAAGATATGATAAGCATAAGACAAGACGAGGGCAGATGATTTAAGATGATTAATAATAATAATAATCCTGAGAGGAAAGAATAAGTCTCTCCTAATAATAATGAGAGGACGAAGTCCTTGACTGAGTGAGGCAGAACTAAGCACACAAAAGCGACAAGCAGGCACACAACGGGTGAATGTAGGGATAACTCTTCATCTGTTTCTTACAGAAACACCAACACCATAGAACATTAAAAGATGTGCAGAATGTGATCAATACTGTGGCTGAAGCCTAATCTCTTATAATGAGGGACTTTAATGATGAGACAATAAATTGGGTGAATCTAACATCACAATTGGACGGAGAAAAATTCCTTGACCTAGTACAGGACTTCTTTATCACACAGTATATGACAGCCCCTCTAAGGTAACAGCATTTTAAGGGATATTTCCCATAGCGTGAGAAATGATCAAGAGGAGCGCTGACAAATTAAATGAATCTAAAACCCTTAAATGTGGAAAGAATTTAATCCAAAATCGTAAAGAAACTGGCCGAAAGACACTCTGCCATTTAAACTTCTTTTCCGAAAATCTCTGTGTCAGGAGCAAGTTTCCCCTAGATCGGCAGTAAATGTCGCCCCCATTTAAAAAAAATGCAGAAAGAGCTTTGCAGAAAAGTATCGACCAGTAAGCCTAACCGCACACCTGCAAGCTCATATAGATAATCCTAAGGAAGGGATTCATTCACCACCTCTGTGCACAAAAAAAAACATCAATATGATTTTGTTAAAACACAAATCTTGCCTTACGAACCTGCTCACTTTCTTGCAAACGGTAAACAACTTTTCAAATAAGAGACTTCCAGGTGTTGCACACACTGACTTCACTCAAGCTTTGATAAGGTCATTTCTTTGCTAGTCTTTTGACTTGCAATGAAACTACTTAACCATTAAATAAAAGCAAAATACTAGAATAGTAAAACAGTGCCCAAAACAAAACAAAAGGGTGTCCTAAATGGAATTATTTTGACTGGAAGAATGTGGCGAGTGGAGTACCACAAGGCTCCAGCTTGCGGCTAACCCTTTATATCATTCTTATTGACAAAAGACAATACTACAAATCGCATCATCAAATTTGAAGACACTAAAATTGTCAAGTAGAAAGTGAAAAGTATATTGAGGCCCTACAAAGATATCTCCACATGAACTCCACAAATGGTCAATAGACTGGCAAAGGCTTCAACCTGTCCTAACTGAACTTTTGACGTATTTTGATACATTTTGACGTATTCTCTACCTAAGGCCAAAAATTGTCGTACTGTCCTAGAAAATGGTAGCAGCTCGCAAAATTGACACACTGTCCCGTTTTCTGTTTTGGGTCCTCTGTAGGTTAGGATAAGGGCACTTTAGTACGACAATTTTTTGACGTTGGGAAACCTTAGGAGGACGGGCTGAATGCTTTTAAATATTGACAAATAAAAGATCTTGCCTATAGGGCAAAACAATGCACATCACAACTTCCTTAGCACTACCATGCAGCAGACTGATAAAGAAAAGTACCTAAGCAGCAATGATCCACCAGCCATTTAAAGTTGCACAAGTAGGAGCTGCAGTGAAACGTCGACGAAAAGTTTTCAAAGTCGAAAGGACTTTTGACTTCAAAGAAAAAAAGTGGTTACTCAACTGTACAAGTCTCTGGTGCAGCCTCATTTGAACTATTATATCCATGCACGAAGACTTCGCCTTCAAAACGGCTTTGAAGTTAAACACAGCGACCAAAATCCCAGAACTACTTCCACTCTCATACCAGGATCAGTCAAGGGTCACAGGACTAGCACTGCAAACCAGACATAACAGAGTCGATCTCATCAAGATCTTTATAATGCGGATCAAGTCTGAGGATATTAATCCAGACTTCTTTAAAATGTCAAATATAACACATACAAAGGGTAACAGCATTAAGATTAACAGTGTATGACAGAAAACATGAGATGCTTTTTTTCACACAAAGGCTATAAACCCATAGAACAGCTTACCTACCGAAACTAAATGCGAAGACATTACTTCAGTTAAAAATTCAAATATATAAAATGTGGAATGATAGGGGATGTATCCAACCCCTTCGAGGCCATTAGGAAGTGGACTCGAGTAAAATCTTTATATATTAAAAAATACAAACTCGTGGACCGATACATTCAGGAGCTTCCCGTTGGGATCCACTGAACTCCAGACAACTGACTTATCAAGCCTTCAGGAATAGGTTAGGAGAGCTGGAGGAGATTACCTGTGATGCACAGTAGTGGGGCATGAGAGTAGACTCCCCTGACGTGGTCCATGTCGTAAAGAGTCTTGACAGTCCCCGGGGTGGCCTTGATGGGTTTTGTGGGTCTGCGAGTGTGTTTGAGTGCCCACAGGTACTCCGGTAACTTCAGGGATTCTGCATTCTGGGATATTAGGTCATCGTTAAAATACTTCCAGTTAAGTTTGTAGGCTACGGGATTCTCCTTTTTCTGAAAAGCCCTGGAAGTGGGTAAAGATATTTGAGGATTTCTTCTGTTAAGAACACTTTCACAAACTTTTTTTTCGGATATCAAATGAAGTTATATATGCTGAGCAACATACATAGCACTTCGATGTACAACTTTATCAAATGTAATTAAAGGCTATTAAGGGTGCCAATACAAGCATAAGGACATATGGTTATTTATATGAAAGGAGTCAGATTCATTAAGCAGAGTATTTAGTGAGAATTCTTGTAAAGAAATAATTGATAAACATAGTTACGCATCATCCTGAAAATTAAGACATTCAATTACAAATGTCAAATCGTAAATGGTTAAGACGGTAAGAGGCATGTTCAATGTACGTAAAAACAAAAATAAAAAATATAAAAAAATCCTCCCTTTTGAAACACGTTTAACAGCACAAAGTTTATTAGTCACTAAACTTACCACTTCTCTCCATCTCCTTAATAAAGTACAGTGTATGATTGGTTAGTAATGTGCGAAGGGAACAGATCGTAAGACCAGGGAAAAGTCTGAATAACAGATTTTGTAGTTTCATTGGCCAGTAAATTTGTGTTAACCTGAAAGCCTTTACTAAAAGACAGCCAATATTGGATTTCTGTAACCAAAGGTTTGATGTAATTACAACAAATAATAGCCAGTAAGGTACTTTTAAGACTCTAGTGACTATATACAAGACTACGTACCAACAGTATAATCACTCAAATTCCCAAGCTAAATCAAGATAATGCGTTCCACCCAATTTCCCTTACTAGTAGCATTTGCAAAACACTCTAGAGAATAATCCTAAACCGTCTCCTCCATAGAATAAGAACCATGCTATCTCCCCCATATACATGGCTTCATGCATGGAAGGAGTGTGCATCATTGCATCACCACCTTTCTTACTCTTCACACTGAAAAGTCATATACCACCTTCCTAGATCTTAAATCTGCCTTTGATATTGCAAATCGACATGTTATCTTCAGTGAGCTTGCGAGAATTAATATTGGTGGTCGGCTTTTTTGGTTGGATCAGGGGTTACTTATCCTACAGGAAGTCATCTGTATTTTTCCAGGGGCATAGGAGTATAACAAGAGACTTCGAACTAGGTACCCCGCAGGGAGGTGTCCTCAGTCCTACCTTATTTAATATCTTAATAAACACGCTATTAAACTCTGTACCGAGCAAACCCAACGTCCACATAGCTATGTGGAACGTTGCACAACGTACACTGAGCTATGCTGTTTTTTTTTAGATATACAAGAGTTGTTACATTCTTGTACAGCCACTAGTACGCATAGTGTTTCGGGCAGGTCCCTGGAATACGATCCCCGCCGCGAAGAATCGTTGTTACAACCAAGTACACATTTTACTGTTGAGTTAAACAGAGGCTACAGTTAAGGATTTGCGCCCAGTAAATCCTCCCCGGCCAGGATACGAACCCATGATATTTATGATGATAATTAACTGATATAATGATACATACCACTGGGTATACTAGCACGCAGAACACACTTAACTCTGTATTATACTCATGTCAGTACCTAGGTTTAGTCATCTCAGCAGAGAAAACAAAGATAATAATCGGCGCCCAACTAGGCAGAGAGGAGCTGTTCGCAAGATGCAACAGTCTGATGGTTCCCAGCTTGACTATGTAAACAGATTCAAATACCTTGGCATTGAGGTGCCACTGTATAGTCCTGTTGTATTAAGACTCTGTCGTCAGTATAAAGAGGCTCTCAAGGCTGTTGCAGGGTTATCACTCAGGCTATGATACTAATGTCAGAATTGTCAAAATTATGTACCTTGCATACATCAGATCTTTAGTGGATTACGCTGCACCTCGGCTTGCTTTGATACCTGAAAGAAAGCTTGGAGGGCTTGAAAAATTGCAGAACGAAGCCTTGACGATAATCCTTGGATGCCCTCGTACCACAAAGATACTTAACATAAGAAAGGAACTTAATATTTCGAGCGTTGTTGATCGTGTTACTGAAATTAACTGTCAAAATGGTATAAAAATGCTTAGGCTAACTCATCCTAACCCTTGCACAGAAGCCCTCCAGAATGTCTTTATTGAAGGTCAACATTGTTCCAAATGGATAACTAAAACTGGAACTGAAATCAGAATGTATCAGATTTGTCATTTATACCAAGAGACAACAATGGCACTTTCCTGCACCGTGGGAGATTACACTCTTCCCAATTTTAATCCCTCCCTTTCCACCCAAGAAGCAAATTAAAGATCAGCCTAAGCTTCGTCTTGAAGCAAAGCTCAATGCCTTAAGCCATATTGATGCTCTGTCCACAGATCACTCACTCGCTCTTAAATCATATACACTTATGGTTCCCTACACCGCACCATGGATGCAGCTGGAAGTGCAGTTGTCCTGACAATGGGGGATGGCTTATATTTTGAGTGGGGAGTCCGTATAAACAACTGGGCCTCTACCCTTCAGACCGAACTATTTGCCTTGCTTCTTGCACTGAAATGTGTACAGTCTCCAAACTTGATACATTAATTGTAAGTGACTATCATCCTTAATTGCTCTCAACTCTAAGACATAACTGTAACATGCTCGTGTCTGAAGCTAGACACAAACACAACAACATTATTAATGAGGGTAAGAGTCCATTTCAAGTGGACTTCCTCTCATGTTGGCCTCCGAATTATTATTAGTATTGTTGTTTAAGATTCGCTACCTGGAACAAAAAGTTCCAAGTAGCACGGGCTATGGTGAGCCCGTAGTGCCTCCGAATACATGACAGAGCTGATGAGTTAGTCAAAGAATCTGCCTTTAAAGGAGAAATTGAGTATAACCTTGGATTGTCAATAAGCAGTCTGAGAGCAATAGTACACTAAGAACTTCAACAAAATCTTGTAGATCTGAGGCAAAGTGAAATCGACACCAGTAATTCTCTCTATCATCATACCATCATGCAAGAGGAGCCACACATCTATGGATCATCCAATAAAATCAGCAGACTTTTAGATGTTACTACTGCTCGGCTTAGACTGTTACAAGTATCTCTGGGAATTCTCATTATCTGCAGATGTAGACCTGACCAAAAGTAAATTGTCAACAAAATTATTCGCACACCCTCCGTCACTATGTGATGGAGTGCGAAAAGATACGTGAATTCAGAGACAATTCTATAACAAATGGTCAAGAGATGTGTAAATTTCATTGAAAATGATCTGCTACCAGAAATTTTAGCCAAATATCCCCAGTTTGCTAACTGTAGGTAGCAAATAAGTGATTGTAACCTATCCACCGCTGCCCACTGGATGGGGGGCGGTGTGCAGGACAAACATATTGTCACACTAACTCTCCACATATGTCAGTTGTTTAATTTAGAAACTGAACTTGTGGTTGATCTCGAACCCATTGATGATATGACGATGTGTATTGAATTTTGTAACTAGCTCATCAAGATTGTAACTTGCTTAGCTAAATGAATTGTGGGGTTCAGTCCCTGAGCCCATTATGTGCCTCTAACTCTTTCCACTAACGCCTACAAGATGGGCATAGGGTGCATAATAAATGAACTAAACTACCTTATCCAATCTTATTTTAATAACCTTGTCATAAAAATCATGTTTGTCAGACAATTTTCCATTTCTAAATCTATGCTGGTTTTTTGTTACCAAGTCGATTCTCTCAAGATGCTCCACTATTCTCGAACTAATTACTTTCGCCACCACTTTACAAGGAATATTTGTCGATAACACCGGTCTGTAGTGTAGTGCCTCCTGTCTATCACTTTTATGAATATTCATAGTGTTGTTAGCCCCGTAGCCCTCAACTGTTCTTGTTATGAGAGTCGACGTAGTTCTGAAATGATTTTTATTGCCAGGTGTTGCACTTTTTCGATAGCGGCTGACTTTCTGAAGACGAGGTCTCAATGCTTGGATTCGATAATCCAAGTTGGGGCGCACCAGAGATTTATACAGGTGAATAACTTCCTCAAAGTCAAGAGTTAGCTTGATTATTCCCAGGCCTATTTTTTTTTCACTGCACCTCCCACTTCTTGTACAACTTTTAGTAAATGATGGATTCTGACTCCATGGTCTTTTTCATCATCAACCCTGCTGTGAGGGCATGCTGTTAATGTGGTAGACGTGGTTTGTTATGTCCAACATACAAGGTATCGATCATACCCTCGTCTTGTATTGAAAGGAAGGGCACACTTTTAGAACAAGGAAAATACGCAAAATTGCTCCCTTTGATGGTAGATACTACCACACTGTCAGGGTATACCATGTCAACACCACATCCAAACATTTATCACCGACAATGGAGATCAAGAAGTTTGTCCTGTGTACCTTAAAAACTATCACGTACAGTAAATCACTGTAACGGACCTTTAATTTGCTTAGGGACAAGCTATATAATTCCACCCCTATGTATTGCATTACAATCTGTAAACAGTCAATAAAAACTACATAAAGAATATATACTAGCATCTCTAATGATTAAAGTTATTCTTGTGAAGGAACATTTAGGACGTACGTAGTGGTAAGGTGGTCGAGGAAGTGGGTGTAGTTGTGGTGGTGGAGCAAGATGGGCAGCTCGTCGGGGTCGTAGTGAGCGATGAAGCGGTACTGGTGCATGTGTCGCAGGAGGCAGTCGCTGAAGTATATGTTCTCCTGCGCGAACATCTCTTTTAGCATCACACGTGTCCACAACCTGTGGTGTGAAAGCTGGCTTATCAGACCAACAATTTGCTCGCGTGTTAAATAAAAACATTTTATGTGTTTCCTGTTAAATAATTTATCAAAAGAAGGCACCAAACCTGGAAGACTATTTAGCATTTATTAATTAGTAGAATATTCGAAAGGTTCAAAATATCACTGAATACCAATACGAGGGCAAAAAATTAAAAGATTACGTCCAATTTAGCAGCTTCACCAAAGATTCTATCGAAGGATAAACGACTATCTTGAGGTTATCTCGAGATGATTTCGGGGCTTAGTGTCCCCGCGGCCCGGTCCTCGACCAGGCCTCCACCCCAGGAAGCCGCCCGTGACAGCTGACTAACATACAGGAATTTTACTGCTAGGTAACAGAGGCATAGGGTGAAAGAAACTGCCCATTGTTTCTCACCGGCGCCCGGGATCGAACCCGGGACCACAGGATCACAAATCCAGTGTGCTGTCCGCTCGGCCGACCGGCTCCCCTAGGGGACATTGAGAAAACGAGACTTGCTGCCAACCTCAAAATGAGAACATCTTGCAAGGAGTTGCAGTAGCAAGTGGGACAACGCAGTTAAAAATGAGCAGGGCGTTGTTCCCTTCAGGACCCAGGAGTTAAGCACGAGTGACCAATACGCAACACCAGTTTCCCGGCTACTTATTACCGTGGTAGGGGGAAAGCTACGGAATAATTCACATTTAATACTACACAGTTTGCCTCCACAACAACAAAAGAATGTTGACCAGACCACACACTAGAAATTGAAGGGACGACGACGTTTCGGTCCGTCCTGGACCATTCTCAATCGTCTTGAGAATGGTCCAGGACGGACTGAAACGTCGTCGTCCCTTCAATTTCTAGTGTGTGGTCTGGTCAACATACTTCAGCCACGTTATTGTGACTCATCGCCAACAAAAGAATGCCATATCGTAAAAAGCGGCTGGAGGAGAGCATTCGAAAATAGCATAAAGTACAGTCCTGAAAATACTGGTTATCTTGAGGTTATCTTCACACACTCTGGTGTGCGGGGAAAAGGCAGTACACAACTTTAGCTGGGGAAAAACATCTTCAAGACTATCGAGTTTCCTATCTCCTCTAACATGCTATTGATTTGTTCTAAGTATTCTTCTTACCAAGTCTATGATTCAATTTTACTTTATCATATTACTTATATTTACTTTCCGATATTTAGGTTTGGTAGATACGCATAGCATCGCAAATTCACTTTACATATATAAAACTTCGGTTCATTTACAAGTTTGATATTTTTAATTTATTTATTATTTCTTTTATTTATTTCTTTACAAGAAGGTACATTGAGTTGTGAGAGTACATAACATTGGTGTTCTTACATTCTTGCAAAGCCACTAACACGCATAGCGTTTTGGGCAGTATATTCTTACCTCTGAATACTGGGCTCGTTGATATATGGCGGTGGGTAGGAGTATCTGGTGAGCTGCACGAAGCCGTCATCCACGTAGTAATTAAGGACCTTCTCAATGTTAGGATGGACGTTGGCAGTGTAGAGGAACACCCTGCCGAAGCCCTCCGCCCGCAGGATCTCCAGCCACTCCACCAGTCGCTTGGAGAAGTCCTTGTGGTAGTAGTAGAGAGCTGGACCACACACGGCCGGCACCCACCCAGTCACTGCCCTGTGGGACGTACACCTGGTCACACCTGCTGTGTGTCGCACCTGGTCACACCTGTGTGTCGCACCTGGTCACACCTGCTGTGTGTCGCACCTGGTCACACCTGCACGACCTTACATCTGCTGTGTGTCGCACCTGGTCACACCTGCACGACCTTATATCTGCTGTGTGTCGCACCTGGTCACACCTGCACGACCTTACATCTGCTGTGTGTCGCACCTGGTCACACCTGCACGACCTTACATCTGCTGTGTGTCGCACCTGGTCACACCTGCAGGACCTTACATCTGCTGTGTGTTGCACCTGGTCACACCTGCAGGACCTTACATCTGCTCTGTCACACTTGTGTCGAGCTTGTAATACACTGGACACATTTATACAGCTGCACTGTACTACACTGGACACGTTTAGACAGCTGCACTGTATTACACTGGACACATTTATACAGCTGTACTGTACTACACTGACCTACACTGTACATAGTCTGTACGCTGATCCACATGATAACAATATAGCGTGTGTTTGTCCCAGGCCTTCCCCCCATATCTCAATAAACACAGCACCTGAAACACTTCTAAAAATAGTTTGGTAACCTGAATGTGAAGTTAAAACTAGATTGAGCCTAGTTAGCTCAATCTTAGCTAGTTAGCCTAGAAGCTAGACTAACACTTAGCTTTATAACACGATAACATTCAACAGAAGCAAGGAATGGGCAGATTGTAAGTTTCCCTCAATTGTCAATGTTAGATGCTTCCATACAGAAGATAGTAAAGAGCTAGGGAAGCAAGCCGAGGCAAGTAAAGGTGACCAAATGGACAAGGAAGCACCCTTCTGATAGGCAGCAGAAGGCCAAGGTGAGGAGGAGAACTCACACTGCCGATAGATCACGAGTGGGGTGACTAGTGTCGGTGCCAGACCAAAACTTACTTTTAATAAATTTCAACATTCTGATAAATCAGTATCTCGGATGTTAGCAGATAATAGCAAACTTATGATAAGTAATGAGAATATTTGAGAATTGTGGGACAAAGCAAAATAATCTAGACATGCTCCCCAGGTATTCTGAAGAATTATCGACTTCAATTTTAAAATGCTCTTTTTCTAACAAATGAATGGGAAGAACATGCTGAAGCACTCATTAAGTGTACAAAAAACAAGCCAGTTAATGCCTTTCATCTTACGTGATGTGTTAGATTATATATAAGGACCTGCCCGAAACACTATGCGTGTTAGTGGTTTTGCATGAACGTAAAAATACCAATCTTGTGTCATCTCACCAACCCATTGTACCTTCTTGCAAATAAATTATTATTATTATTATTATACCTTATGATTGGAGCAAGTTGAATCATATTGTGATGTCACTACACTATATAAATTGGTGTAAGGAGGCTGGTCTGGAGAGCTAGAGCACATTTGCAGGAGACAAATAGATAAGGACACGTGTAGGAGTACAACCCGTTCTCGCAAATTTAATAAGTCAATATTGACTTATTAGTTGCGTGCATAGGTGACATACTAAACATAATAGTTTCCCTTGAAAAGCTTCATAGAAAACACCGACCTTACCTAACCTACTTAGTATGTTAAAATAAGCATCTTATAGCTTCGTAATTACAATTGTTACTTAACCTATTATAGGTATAGGTTAGGTAATAATTGTAATTACGAAGCAATAAGATGCTTATCTTAACATACTAAGTAGGTTAGGTACGGTCGGTGTTTTCTATGAAGCTTTTCAAGGGAAACTATTATGTTAAGTATGTCACCTATACACATATTTAATAAGTCAATATTGACTTATTAAATTTGCGAGAACGGGTTGCAGAGTATGACAAAACGTAACTATTAGACTCGGCCGATCAAAGGCCTTAAGAGTCTTGTCAAATGTTGGCTCCTGCTATGACACATGACAAGGAAGATAGATTGAGGCGAGGGAGAGTATTACCTGGTGGGGTCGGCGGGCTTGTGTCCATGCTGATAGGCTGACGCCTCTCTCTCCTTGGCTCCCACCACCTGTTGGCACCCCTGGCACGTTATTCACTCCTCACTGGCACCTAATTACCCCCTATCACGTCATTCACTCCTCACTGTCACGTCATTCACTCCTCACTGTCACGTCATTCACTCCTCACTGTCACGTCATTCACTCCTCACTGTCACGTCATTCACATCTCACTGCCACGTTGCTTAGCTTCAAGAAGATTATATATATATGATTATCCTAGAATATTATAGGACATTATCCTAGAGTATTATTATAGTATCCTAGGGTATGATTATCCTAGAGTACCAGGAGCACTCCGTCTGAGTGAACACATTGAATAGAGAGAGTGAACATGTCCGCACGGACGATGGAGTCTCTTTCAACTGTTGCAACAATCTCGTCTCCCCAGTTATAATGATATTAGCTTTATCCCATAAAGCTAACTACGGTCCGCGGTTGTTCCTCGGTGCACCAGTTTTGAGATACTGCACAACGCGAGGAATCTGAGGCACACTGACAACACTGACTAAACTATATTTGCCACACTGAAGGGCACTAGTCCAGCACCGCTCCTGTGCCAGGTAAGTCCACTACGGGCTCACCATAGCCCGTGCTACTTGGAACTTGTTCAGAGTAGCAGAATCTATAACAACAACGGCACTAGTCGAGTGGTCGTGAAGACTCATCATCGTCAACAAGTTCCAGAAACATTGTTCCTCTACTGCTTATAACAAACGTGGTTCATTAAGAGCAAACAAGTGGCGACAATCACCATTCAATGACCCGGCAGGACCTGTAAGATCTCCAGAGCTTCAGGACATGGATGAACTCCGGCTGTCTCAATCAACTTATCAGAGAATTACACGGTCAAAAGCATCACAAACAACATGGTCAATAACACAAATATACTAAAGTAAAAAAAATGCAAAGGTATTATACTCGCCCAGGATTGTATCGAGGGATATACGACTAAATTGTCGTAAAACAAAATAGCACTACACTTCTGCAAGTCTAAACCCCATGACTAAGGTTCCAAGTAGTGCACTGACACGGAGAGGGGCCAAAAGAGCAAGACTAAAGTAAGTTTAGCATTACGTGAGGTGGGGTGGGGGTGGGGTGGGGGGGGGGGGGTTACTATTACTTGCTTCACTACTACTGTTAAATTTGGACAGTGGTGACCACAAAACTGCCAAGAATACTAATATTGGTAATGTTCTACCGCCCCATCTTGTTAATACCAGGGATCAGAGCCTGCCGTGACATCACTACTATCCTAGAGTACCAGGAGCACTCCATCGTCTGAGTGAACACATTGAGTAGAGAGAGTGAACATGTCCGCTCGGACGATGGAGTGCTCCTGGTACTCTAGTATAGTCAATGTTGTCACGACAATCTGGGACCCCTGTTATTAACGTCGACATGGGGCGGGGTAGGACATACCATTATTAGCATTGCTGGGAGTTTTGGGCCATCATGGTCGAGGTGTAACAGAGGAGTGAAGCGAGGCATCTGGCCTGCTCCAGCGTCTGGAGATGGAACCATGTGTGTTACCCACATGGTAACTCCTGCTCCTACCCCAGCCAGGCCGCTGGGGTAGGAGGGTAATATTCCAGCCAACTGACTGAAGCAGCTGAATATGCAGCTGGAGAGAATTATACTAACCAACATGAGGTAAAGACAAATATTTTCTCAGTGTAAATCCGAGGGTTTCAGAAGAGCGGCCACACCGATGATACTGCCACAGATATGAGCAGGAGTAGACGACGGAGAGTATGACCAGGGAACAGTTTACGGGCTCACCATAGCCCGTGCTACTTGGGACGTTGAGTAGCTGAATCTAAAAGAACAGGAGGGAAGAGTGCCAAGTCTGTGCCCCACCCAGCAGACCTTGGAGCCAACAAGGAGCAAGTGGGAGGTAGTTTACCTGGAGTAAAGTAGTGGCAGGTTTACAGGGCAGGTTAACGAGGGAGACGGTAGTTTACCTGGAGTAAAATAGTGGCAGGTTTACAGGGCAGGTTAACGAGGGAGACGGTAGTTTACCTGGAGTAAAGTAGTGGCAGGTTGACAGGGCAGGTTAAGGAGGGAGACGGTAGTTTACCTGGAGTAAAGTAGTGGCAGGTTTACAGGGCAGGTTAACGAGGGAGACGGTAGTTTACCTGGAGTAAAGTAGTGGCAGGTTGACAGGGCAGGTTAAGGAGGGAGACGGTAGTTTACCTGGAGTAAAGTAGTGGCAAGTTGACAGGGCAGGTTAAGGAGGGAGACGGTAGTTTACCTGGAGTAAAGTAGTGGCAGGTTGACAGGGCAGGTTAAGGAGAGAGACGGTAGTTTACCTGGAGTAAAGTAGTGGCAGGTTGACAGGGCAGGTTAAGGAGGGAGACGGTAGTTTACCTGGAGTAAAGTAGTGGCAGGTTGACAGGGCAGGTTAAGGAGGGAGACGGTAGTTTACCTGGAGTAAAGTAGTGGCAGGTTGACAGGGCAGGTTAAGGAGGGAGACGGTAGTTTACCTGGAGTAAAGTAGTGGCAGGTTGACAGGGCAGGTTAAGGAGGGAGACGGTAGTTTACCTGGAGTAAAGTAGTGGCAGGTTGACAGGGCAGGTTAAGGAGGGAGACGGTAGTTTACCTGGAGTAAAGTAGTGGCAGGTTGACAGGGCAGGTTAACGAGAGAGACGGCACCTGGCTGAAGGTGGGCTGCCTGGGACGGTAGGGGACAGGTGAACATGAAGGGCATCTGACGGTCCCCGCTCCTTCCTTGGTAGTCCAAGTAGTCTGTACACAAATATTATGACCACGACATACAATATTGCCAGACAACAATACTGCATAAACAATAAACATTTTAATGCCATCATCCCCCAAACTTATTCAGACTTGAACTGGCTATTAAATTAGAAATTGATATACAGTCAACATTAAAAACCCTTTGGAAGTATATATAAAGCAAAAAATATACTGTACGGCAAAAAATGCTTATTAAAAATTGTTTTAATGTTTATTATAAATAAAAAAATAATAGCTTTATTGAAGCCTTATATTGTGTTATACAACAATCAAAGTATAGCAGATCAACAACACATTCTTGGGCATAATACAGGGTAATAATGACCTACATAATTACTGTCATTCATATACCCATATGAACCACACACTCCTGTAAACACACAGTTCTCCAGACACAATAACAACAACACTGCTAAGTTGCTTACTAGTATTGTGTTAAATTAAGTGCGAGGGAAAGCGTAGATCAGTTGCCCAGGCTATCGTCTCCTGACTACACCTGCCAGCAGTGTTAATCTGGGTTTAAATATTGTCTTGTGTGGCTATCGTCACGGATCTCTGAAGAAGCCAGAGTGCAGGTGAGAATTACCACCTACCAGCAGGAACCACGAGAGCGCCACCTACCAGCAGGAACCAGGAGAGAGCGCCACCTACCAGCAGGAACCAGGAGAGCCCGCCACCTACCAGCAGGAACCAGGAGAGCGCGCCACCTACCAGCAGGAACCAGGAGAGCGCCACCTACCAGCAGGAACCAGGAGAGCCCGCCACCTACCAGCAGGAACCAGGAGAGCGCCACCTACCAGCAGGAACCAGGAGAGAGCGCCACCTACCAGCAGGAACCACGAGAGCGCCACCTACCAGCAGGAACCACGAGAGCGCCACCTACCAGCAGGAACCACGAGAGCGCCACCTACCAGCAGGAACCAGGAGAGAGCGCCACCTACCAGCAGGAACCAGGAGAGCGCCACCTACCAGCAGGAACCAGGAGAGCGCCACCTACCAGCAGGAACCAGGAGAGCGCCACCTACCAGCAGGAACCAGGAGAGCGCCACCTACCAGCAGGAACCAGGAGAGCGCCACCTACCAGCAGGAACCAGGAGAGCGCCACCTACCAATCTTGGTGACCTTGGCGACGACTGGAGGTTGTTGTGGGTTGAACCAGAAGTGACACCAGCCGGCGGGAGGGTTGGTGCTCCTGGTCACGCCCAACACCCTCACGCATGGCTCTCCTCCTGTACCATTACAGAACACAATAATGTACTATATTAAACAAAATATGATTATACAACAATACACAGTAATATATAATCAGACGATCACACAAACTAAGCGGCGAGTATAGTGAAACTCCTTTTCTGAGCTGCCTATAGCAGGAGAAGCAGGAGAAGCAGGAGAAACAGGAGAATACAGGACACACACAGGTGACAGCAGCGTCCACTAGCTGTGTGAAAATTTGTCTACGAGAGTGAATGTTTGTGTTCGAGGCAGTGGACCAGAAGCTTGGGGCTAGAGCCTCACCAAACGTTTGCAAGGTAATCTGTAATCTGTAATTCACTTAGTGTCATGGGGGGGTCGACCCTCAACCACCCTGTGATCCCCTTGAAGTAGGACTGGTTTTTATTTTGACATTGAAAGAGTTCTGTGGAATCTGAAATGTGGATTGAATTGCCCATAGATTGTTTCCCAATGGAAAGAAACCTGGAAAAACTGGAGCGTTGCAATTACTTTATTCACTCTCGTATTCTTAAGGGGGCATATCGAAAAATATCGTCATAAATTAAAATTGTTCAATTTGCTTATAAATTTTTTTATGAAATGGTTATAGAAAGGGCTGTAACTGGTCCAAGTTTCACCATCACACCCTAAACAGAAAAGGAGAAAAAAAATACACAACGTATTATGCAACGAATGTTCAACATTCTCAAATAATCTCAGGGAACACATGTGTCAACTAAAATGTCTACTATGTGCTGTAGAAGCACAAACTCTTGTAATAATTGTAATATGTATGTTCAATATATTTATATTTAATTTTTTTTTTTTTCTTTTTTTTTTTTTTTTTTTTTTGCCAATTTTTTTTTCTCGTTTGTTATCAAGGGATTTGCATGAAACTTGCACACCTTGCTCAATGGATGCCTATCTGCAAGGGTGCCAATTATGAACGAAATCTGTCGAAGTCAAGCTCAGCTACAAGTGGCCGAACTTGGATCTTTATTTTACTCTGGAAAGTAATTTACACCTTCAAATTACTTCAGAGCTTTCATTTATTAATCAATTTACATGCAAATTACACCTTATATGTAGCGTTTGTGCTTCTATAGACTCTAGTAGACATTTTAGTCCAAAGTCTATTTGTTGATTTTATAAAAAATTATAAATATCATATATTGCATATTTTTAGTAGGGAAACTTTGAAAGATTATATTATTGCACTAAACACTTTTTTGATAAAACTGATCACTAGAATCCTTTATTATGTGCTTAATTTAATATCTGAGTGTTATAGAAATGATTTTAGTTGATACATGTGTTCCCTGAAACTATTTGAAAATTCGTTGCATAATTCGTTGTTTATTTTTTTCTCCTTTTCTGTTTAGGGTGTGATGATGAAACTTGGACCAGCTGCAGCCCTTTCTATAACCATTTCATAAAAAAATTTATAAGCAAATTGAACCACTTTTAATTTTACACCGATATGCCCCCTTAAAGATATCCTCACAGTGTACCCAAAATTTGCCAGTGCAGGCTACTAAACATATGGCCCTGTATGACTAACCATCCTGCGAGATGGGGACTTTTATTACCACTGCTATCTTATTCACTCTTGTGTTGATGATATCCTCAAAATGCATCCGAAGTCTGCCAGTGCAGACTGGCTATCACATGCCTCTGTATGACTAACCATCCTGTGTGATGGGGATTTTTTAGCATCACCTAGTTAGCTTTTTGACACACTGTACTCCACTTCAAATAGTCTAAGATAGCTGCACTAATGCAGATGTACCTCATTAAAAAAAAAAAAAAAAGTTGATAGGAAAGAAATTGTTGACGCCCAACGACCTGAAAGCACCAGTATAAGAAACTATGATTTGTTCAGATCTGAAACCTATATCTATGGACAGCACAAAACGTACACCAGACTGTGCGACACAGTGGTTGCAAGGATCAGGTTGGGTTACCGTTACCTGTGGCAGGTGGCTACAGGTGACGGATCTCCCAATCCTGAGCACTAGTACAAACTACTAGTACAAGTTCCAGGTGCAAACTCTGTGAGCAGGAACTGCGGCATGATCTCACGCACAATCTTAATGAATTAAGGTCTGAATAAAGGTCTGAAGAGTCAATTAGATCCTTCAGACATTCCGGCATGAGGTACCTGGAACTTTGCAATCAATTTATTCACTCGTATTCTTGAGGAAAAACCCTCATAATACATCAAAAGTTTGCTAGTGCAGCCTACTGATCACATGGCCCTGCATGTATGACTAACCATCCTGCGAGATTTGGGATTTGTTTAGCACTACGTACCTAGTTCATGACACTGACCGCTTCACAGAGTTTACCGTAGCTGTATAAATGACCACGTACCTAACATGTTAATACAAAAAATATCCGGCTGCATCGACGATGATTCAACGTCGAATATACTGATTTATAGGCGATTCAACATTAGTATGTTTTGCCCACTGGGAGAGAGAACGGGAAGGTTAAAAGGGAGGGAAGAGCCGGGAGGGTGAAGATCTATTGAACGAACACATGATCTATTGAACGCGGACACACATGTGAAGATGGCAAGCACCAATGGATGCAATTAAGAGCCCTCCACTCACCTGGGTTGATGTCGTAGACTGCAGAGTAGAGCAGTATGGAGGTGTTGCCCAACACAACCTTCTGCCAGTACTTGTTCACCCACTCGATGCTGCGGACCCACCAAACACACCTCTCAGTTACACCTTGTTTACCACACGTTATGACTCCACGACGACGGGAGAACACTCTTCCGTCACACACACAACTCAAAATACACATCTTAATTTTATACCTGTTTGCTTTATGGGGCAAACGCCAAGCTATGAGGAGGGGGAGGATGCTACGGCATGTGGAGTGGCTGAATTAATATTATGTTAGGAACATGGAATATTGACTAAGTTATGTTATTTAGGTTAGGTAAGTTAGGTTTGGTCATATTTCTACGTTAATTTGAAGTCAAATTAAAACAAATAACTCAATATAATGGAAAGGTTTATCATTATAAGAAATTAGAAAAAGACTAAGAACTTGATCCCTGACCCGGCACCAGTTTCTGTAAGTCTGACACTGATCCTTGTGTTCTATCTGGCTCTACACTCAAGGTTTACCTTCAGAAATTTTTCTTAACACTCCCCCCCCCTCTCCCCTCCCTCTCCTATTTGCCGAGTATACAGTACACTTTTTTTTAGGTAGCGGTATTTCTCACTGTCTGACTAATTTATGGACTAAACAACCTCAACAGATATGATTTTGCCAGGATAGTAACAATCGGCTCGCAATATATTTGTCCTGGGTAAGAGTCCCGGGCAGGGCTAAAAGTTTGGCCATATTTGTTTACCCCTGAAGCCTCTGTTCAACTGTTGTGGAATACATCTTGGGGAAGATGATCAGACGTTGGTTAGGGACACCTTGTCAAGCCTAACAGGACACCGGCTGCGACAATGAGAATACAACCCTGGAAACACAAACCGAAACTGTCTCTATTTTCCGCTTGTTACAACTTGTAATAAAGTTGTTACAACTTGGCTTAACGTGTTTATGACGTATTAGAACGTTGTTACAACTTGCTATATTGGTTGTTATAACTGGTTAGGCGGTGTTAAAACTTGTTCGAACGTTGTACCAACGTCGTAGTTTCGGTGTGTGTTTGGCGGGAAGTAACCCAAATAGCCAGTTATACTCACCTGAATATTGAAGGTAATAACCCACAGCTTTGGGTCCTGCTCACGTTGTAAATTAAATCGATAGGCAAGTTAGGGTGGTGCTTGACCAGGTACTCCAGCGAGGTCATATTCAGCCACGCCATCACTAACTCCAAGTCTTGAACAATAAGTGAACCTCCCAAGACCTTCTTCATCTTACACTCGCAGCTATCAACGACTTGGGGAGTCGTTGGAGATGGTGTCGTAACGGGATCCAGACTACTGTCCGTTGTCAGGTTTAAGGCTCCGTCAGATGCAGAGAGCAAGTCGCTCATAACACGTTCCGGGTTATGGTCGAAATTGTCGTTTAGAGAATGGAAAGTATAAGCTGTGAAGACGAGGACCACCACAGCAGCCAACAACAACCTGTGGACACACGCACGTGAGAACAACAGTAACTGGTTACAAGCTGTCATACATGCACGCCTGTAAGGGCGCGCGCACACCATGCACGCCAGTAAGGGCGCGCACACACCATGCACGCCAGTAAGGGCGCGCACACACCATGCACGCCAGTAAGGGCGCGCGCACACCACATTGACACTTTCATCTCTTCAATATTTGTATTTAATGCTTCTAACCTCTCCTCGTAGCTCTTGCCCTTCAGTTCTGGGAGCCACTTAGTAGCATGTCTTTGCACCTTTTCCAGTTTGTTGATGTGCTTCTTAAGATATGGGCACCACACAACAGCTGCATATTCTAGCTTTGGCCTAACAAAAGTCATGAACAATTTCTTTAGTTTATCGCCATCCATGTATTTAAATGCAATTCTGAAGTTAGAAAGCATAGCATAGGCTCCTTGCACAATATTCTTTATGTGGTCCTCAGGTGATAGTTTTCTATCTAGAACCACTCCTAGATCTCTTTCTTTATCAGAATTCTTTAAAGATTTCTCACATAATATATAGGTTGTGTGGGGTCTATGTTCTCCTATTCCACATTCCATAACATGACATTTATTAACATTAAATTCCATTTGCCAAGTGGTGCTCCATATACTTATTTTGTCCAGGTCTTTTTGAAGGGCATGACAGTCATCTAAATTTCTTATCCTTCCTATTATCTTAGCATCATCAGCAAACATGTTCATATAATTCTGTATACCAACTGGTAGATCATTTATGTACACAATAAACATCACTGGTGCAAGAACTGAACCCTGTGGTACTCCACTTGTGACATTTCTCCATTCTGATACATTGCCTCTGATTACTGCCCTCATTTTTCTATCAGTCAGAAAATTTTTCATCCATGATAGAAGCTTACCTGTCACCCCTCCAATATTTTCCAGTTTCCAGAACAACCTCTTATGTGGAACTCTGTCGAAAGCCTTTTTTAGGTCCAGATAGATGCAGTCAACCCAACCATCTCTTTCCTGTAATATCTCTGTGGCTCGATCATAGAAACTGAGTAAATTCGATACACAGGATCTTCCAGATCGAAAACCATACTGTCTGTCTGATATTATATCATTTCTCTCTAGGTGTTCTACCCATTTAGTTTTGATTAGTTTTTCCAATACTTTCACTATTACACTTGTCAATGATACAGGTCTATAATTGAGGGGGTCTTCCCTGCTGCCACTTTTGTAGATTGGAACTATGTTAGCCTGTTTCCACCCGTCTGCTACGATTCCTGTACACAGGGATGCCTGAAAGATCAGGTGAAGTGGAATGCTGAGCTCAGATGCACATTCTCTCAGAACCCATGGTGAAACGCCATCTGGGCCAGCTGCTTTGTTCTTACCGAGCTCCTTGAGCATTTTTTCCACTTCGTCTCTAGTCTATGTGTTCTATGTTGTTCTCTGGAATTCTTATTGTATCTGGTTCCCTAAAGATTTCATTTTGTACAAACACACTTTGGAACTTTTCGTTTAGTGTTTCACACATTTCCTTTTCATCTTCCGTGAATCTATTTCCCATTTTCAACCTCTGAATATTATCCTTTACCTGCAATTTGTTGTTTATGAATTTATAGAATAGACCTGGTTCTGTTTTACATTTGTCCGCAATCCCTTTTTCAAAATTTCTTTCTGCCTCTCTCCTCACTGCCGTGTAGTTGTTTCTCGCATCTTTGTATCGCTGGTATGTTTGGGGGTTCGGCCTCTTCCTGTATTGATTCCATTTTTGTGTCTTTCGGTCTCTAGCCCTCTCGCAATTTCTATTGAACCAATCCTGTTTCCTAGTTCTGCATCTCTGTTTTGGTATAAATTTTTTTGTGCCTTTATCATATATTTCACAAAACTTGCCATACATCTCATTCACTTCCTTGCCTAGCATCAAGTCTGTCCAATTATACTCACTAAAAAAATTTCTAAGGTCACCATAATGTCCTCTCCTGAAGTCTGGTTTTTCAACTGCTTCAACCTCCTTATTTTCTTCCAGCTTATAATGCATTGCATACTTTATTCCCAAAAAGACATGGTCACTTTTACCCAAGGGAGGAAGGTACTGAATGTCAAATATCTCTTCCTCCTTCCTGGTAAATATCAAATCTAGCATGGAGGGAACGTCCCCTTCCCTCATCCTCGTAGCTTGTTTAACATGTTGATACAAGAATGTTTCCAGGATGAGGTCTACAAATTTACAGGTCCAAAAATCTTCTGTTTTAGCTTCATATGCTTCCCAGTCTATGGATTTCAAGTTGAAGTCACCGACTATCAACAGTCGTGATCTATCGTTATCCGCTCTCGCTATAATCTCTCTCATTATTGTTATAAGACCTTCACGTTTACTATCTAGCTCCTCCTTTGACCATGTGCTGCTTGGCGGTGGACTATATGCATTTATCATCATTAGTTTATCATCCTCATAGCAGATCTCTAGTGCTATTATGTCAACTTCTTGTGGATTGGCAGTCATTATTTCCTTCACCTTTAGGTGTTCTTTTACCAGCACAGCAACGCCACCGCCTTTCCTAATTTTTCTGTCCCGTCTCCAAATTGAGTAGCCCCTTGGGAATATGACCTCATTTAAAATTACATCTTCAAGTTTTGTCTCCGTGAGTGCAACAATGTCTGGTGTGGTGTGTGTGAGTGTGTGTACTCACCTATACTCACCTATATGTGCTTGCAGGATCGAGCATGACTCTTGGATCCCGCCTTTCTAGCTATCGGTTGTTTACAGCAATGACTCCTGTCCCATTTCCCTATCATACCTAGTTTTAAAAGTATGAATAGTATTTGCTTCCACAACCTGTTCCCCAAGTGCATTCCATTTTTCTACTACTCTCACGCTAAAAGAAAACTTCCTAACATCTCTGTGACTCATCTGAGTTTCCAGTTTCCACCCATGTCCCCTCGTTCTGTTATTATTACGTGTGAACATTTGATCTATTTCCACTTTGTCAATTCCCCTGAGTATTTTATATGTCCCTATCATATCTCCTCTCTCCCTTCTTTTCTCTAGTGTCGTAAGGTTCAGTTCCTTCAGCCGCTCTTCATATCCCATCCCTCGTAGCTCTGGGACAAGCCTCGTCGCAAACCTCTGAACCTTCTCCAGTTTCTTTATGTGTTTCTTCAGGTGGGGGCTCCATGATGGCGCGGCATACTCTAAGACGGGTCTCACGTAGGCAGTGTAAAGCGCCCTAAAAGCTTCCTCATTTAGGTTTCTGAATGAAGTTCTAATTTTCGCCAGTGTAGAGTACTCTGCTGTCGTTATCCTATTTATATGTGCCTCAGGAGTTAGATTAGGTGTCACATCCACTCCCAGGTCTCTTTCTCGAATCGTTACAGGTAGGCTGTTCCCCTTCATTGTGTACTGTCCCTTTGGTCTCCTGTCACCTGATCCCATTTCCATAACTTTACATTTACTGGTGTTAAACTCCAGTAGCCATTTCTCTGACCATCTCTGCAGCCTGTTTAAGTCCTCTTGGAGGATCCTACAATCCTCGTCTGTCACAACTCTTCTCATTAATTTTGCGTCATCTGCAAACATCGACATGTATGATTCCACTCCTGTAAACATATCATTTACGTAAATTAGAAAGAGGATTGGTCCCAGCACCGATCCTTGAGGTACTCCACTTGTTACTGTTCGCCAGTCCGACTTTTCGCCCCTTACCATTACCCTCTGGCTCCTTCCTGTTAGGTAGTTCTTCACCCATACTAGGGCCTTTCCGCTTACTCCTGCCTGCCTCTCAAGTTTGTATAGCAGTCTCATGTGCGGTACCGTATCAAAGGCCTTTTGGCAGTCAAGAAATATGCAGTCTGCCCAGCCTTCTCTGTCCTGCCTTATCCTTGTTACTTTATCATAGAATTCTATAAGGTTTGTTAGGCATGATTTCCCTGTCCAGAACCCATGTTGGTGCTTGTTTACAAACCCAATGCTCTCCAGGTGCTCAACAAGTCTTAGCCTAATTATTCTTTCAAGTATTTTGCAGGGGATGCTTGTCAGTGATACGGGTCTGTAGTTAAGTGCCTCCTCCCTATCCCCTTTTTTGAAAATCGGTACGACATTTGCCTCCTTCCAGCAACTGGGCAATTCTCCCGACATAAGTGACTCATTGAAGATCATTGCCAGAGGCACGCTGAGAGCCTGCGCTGCCTCTTTAAGTATCCACGGTGATACTTTGTCTGGTCCAACAGCTTTATTTGCATCCAGTGTTGTCAACTGTTTCATTACATCCTCTGCTGTCACCTCTATATCTGATAGTCTTTCATCTTGGGTAATCTCTTCTAACAATGGGAGCTGCTCAGGCTCGGTAGTGAACACTCCATGGAATTTTGCATTCAGTACCTCGCAGATTTCCTTGTCGCTTTCTGTATATGCCCTTCTGTTTTCCTCAGTTTCACTTGGTCATTTACCGACATCTTCCTTCTTATATGGCTATGTAGTAATTTTGGTTGCTTTTTCGCTTTGACTGCAATATCGTTCTCATAATTTCTTTCCGACACTCGTCTTATGTTAATGTAATCATTCCTAGCTCTGTTACATCTAATCCTGTTGTCCTCTGTCCTTGTCTTCTGTACTTCCTCCACTCCCTCCTGCTTCTCACCTTTGCTTCCTGACACTGTCTATTAAACCATGGGTTATTATATTCCCTCCTGCTTTTTTCTTTATTGTTGGAATAAATCTATCTTCAGCCTCCTTGCATTTCAATATGACTTGGTTCATCATACCTTGCACTGTTTTTCCTCTAAGTTCTTCCTCCCACTGCACTTCTCCCAGGTAGTCCCTTATCCTTCTGTAGTCCCCTTTCTGTAATCAAGTCTCCTTTCCCGGACCTCTTGTCCTTTGGTCACAATTTTAAGCTCCATCATGTAGTCAAAGACTAGGACACAATGGTCACTAGCTCCTAGTGGTATTTCATGTTCCAACTGCTCGATGTCTTCTACATTCTGAGTGATAATGAGATCTAATAGGCTGGGCGTATCCCCTCCTCTTTCCCTAGTATCTTCTTTCACATGCTGTGTTAGGAAATTCCTGTCAATAACGTCTACCAGCTTCGCTCCCCAGGTCTCCTCCCCGCCATGGGGATTCCTCGTTTCCCAATCTATCTCTCCGTGATAGGTAGGTGTGTGTGTGTGTGTGTGTGTGTGTGTGTGTGTGTGTGTGTGTGTGTGTGTGTGTGTGTGTGTGTGTGTGTGTGTGTGTGTGTGTGTGTGTGTGTGTGTGTGTGCGTGCGTGCGTGCGTGCGCGCGCGCGCGCGTGTGTGTGCGTGTGCGCGCGCGTGCGTTCCTTCCTAATATCTTGGCGTCATCAGCAAACATGTTCATACAAGTCTCTATTCCATCTGGCAAATGATTTATGTAGACAATGGTGCGAGTCGGGGGTGAGGGGGAATTTGGAAATGGTAGGGGGTGGAGGGGTAGGGGGTGGAGGGGTAGGGGGTGGAGGGGTAGGGGGTGGAGGGGTAGGGGGTGGAGGGGTAGGGGGTGGAGGGGTAGGGGGTGGAGGGGTAGGGGGTGGAGGGGTAGGGGGTGGAGGGGTAGGGGGTGGAGGGGTAGGGGGTGGAGGGGTAGGGGTTGGAGGGGTAGGGGGTGGAGGGGTAGGGGGTGGAGGGGTAGGGGGTGGAGGGGTAGGGGGGTAGCAGCAGCAGCAGCCACATAGCAGTGCCACCTACGTACTCATCCTCTTGTAAAATGCCCCGCCTTCTTTCACAACAGAATTGTCCTGCTTCGAACCAGTTTTCCCTACTATTTGGTGTTTGTCGGGAGTATGGGATGTGTGTTAGCAAAGGCCACTCGCCTTTACTCGACACTGTCGCGCGATGGGCGACATAAGCACCCGGGGTCAAGCTCGTACTCACCTAATGAAATTGCCTGACACCATCTCGAAGTACGAACTCTTCAATTGCGAGGACAAGGCAAATCTGTAAAAAAAATAGATCTGTGAGGAGATTAGGCCAGTGACGGGTGTGAAGAGCTGGGGGGGGGGTGACGGGTGTGAGACTGGGGGGGGGTGAAGAGACTAGGCCAGTGACGGGTGTGAAGAGCTGGGGGGAGACTAGGCCAGTGACGGGTGTGAAGAGCTGGGGGAGACTAGGTCAGTGACGGGTGTGAAGAGCTGGGGGGAGACTAGGCCAGTGACGGGTGTGAAGAGCTGGGGGGGAGACTAGGCCAGTGACGGGTGTGAAGAGCTGGGGGAGACTAGGTCAGTGACGGGTGTGAAGAGCTGGGGGGAGACTAGGCCAGTGACGGGTGTGAAGAGCTGGGGGGGAGACTAGGCCAGTGACGGGTGTGAAGAGCTGGGGGAGACTAGGTCAGTGACGGGTGTGAAGAGCTGGGGGGAGACTAGGCCAGTGACGGGTGTGAAGAGCTGGGGGAGACTAGGTCAGTGACGGGTGTGAAGAGCTGGGGGAGACTAGGCCAGTGACGGGTGTGAAGAGCTGGGGGGGAGACTAGGCCAGTGACGAGTGTGAAGAGCTGGGGGAGACTAGGTCAGTGACGGGTGTGAAGAGCTGGGGGGAGACTAGGCCAGTGACGGGTGTGAAGAGCTGGGGGGGAGACTAGGCCAGTGACGGGTGTGAAGAGCTGGGGGAGACTAGGTCAGTGACGGGTGTGAAGAGCTGGGGGGAGACTAGGCCAGTGACGGGTGTGAAGAGCTGGGGGGAGACTAGGCCAGTGACGGGTGTGAAGAGCTGGGGGGAGACTAGGCCAGTGACGGGTGTGAAGAGCTGGGGGAGACTAGTGAGTGACGGGTGTGAAGAGCTGGGGGAAGACTAGGCCAGTGACGGGTGTGAAGAGCTGGGGGAGACTAGGTCAGTGACGGGTGTGAAGAGCTGGGGGGGGGAGACTAGGCCAGTGACGGGTGTGAAGAGCTGGGGGGGGGAGATTAGGCTAGTGACGGGTGTGAAGAGCTGGGGGAAGACTAGGCCAGCGAGAGGGAATGTGGTTTCTCAAGATAATGGATTTGTTTCGAGAACGGGCCCACATTGCAGTAAACCCATGGTGCATATATAGCAATTACTCTTTTGAAAGATAAATGAACCTAGAATAATGAAATTATCCGAAAATGTTAATACATGCCAAATTTAATTTTAATAATGATTAATTTAACAATTTAATTTATTAAAGGAGATTTCCACCCGAGCTAATACATCGTACATGATCAAGTATGGTCATGAGATCATCCCGGGCGTAAGTTCGAACCCTCATCACGGCCCTTGTGGATTTGTTCATTTGATGCATCACGCTATTGTGATTTCTGCATGTATGGTCATGAGTTATTGTGAATTTACTTTAGACGATATAGGTAATGGGTGACGAGACAGCCGGTCGGCTTTCTGCCAGCTTTGACACGTCAACCCAGCAGCATATATTATTGCAATAACATGTGTTGCAGCTGCTCTCTCACGCACACGCTTACACGGATGCTAACACACGCAATCCCTTCAACACCACACTTCCAAATAAATACTTTGTAGCAATGTATCCACAATGCTCCTCTTGTTCACCTGGACCTGATCGCCTTGTATTAATATTATAACGTCCTAATACCATGAATAGTCTCGTTACCTTCAATTTTATGGTAACACTAAGGATGCACTGAAAATTCAAGAATTACTATAGTTATTGTCTTATTTAATTGCCCTACGTAATCTATGCATTATACACCACTGTATCTACATTATTCGTCTATGTTCACATTATACACCACTGTATCTACATTATTCGTCTGTGTTCAAGTTATACATTATTCACGCATTCATTTTGTTCCGGTCACCCCCGCTCCTCCATCTTAATATGCAGATGGCTTCTTGAACAAGTGAACTACTGCATCATTCGTCTGTCGTTTATAACACCACAGGAAGAACCTGTGCAGGTACCTCTGATCTATTTACCTCCTATACAATCAAAATTTGTCACTAACATTTCAAAGAAACCTGCTCCTCAACTTTGAAGTATTAAAGTGCATAAACAAAGTTTTAGTCACCTCCAAAGATTGTTAAGTGTTGCTATACCGACTGGCAATCTCTTATGGCAGAATTATTTTGACTATTTTCGTCGAAAGCAAAATAACAATCTTAAAACGCTATTTTTTTTCAGGAATATTCCTGCGCGGGCCCCAAGCCTCTAACTGGCCCTGTAAGTGTTACTCATTTCTATCTTACTTAGGCTCTGGACGAATATTTATGACGTTTGTTGGCTTCATACGTGAATACTGAACATTAAATAAAATAATTAGGACTAATTCTAATGGTGTAATAAAATTGTATACACCAGATGTTTGTGAACACGCCATGACAGCAATTCCAAATAGGCAATAAATTGAATCACCTCCACAACATTATTCAATAAGTCACGGTGTGATAACTTTTTTTTTTTTTTTTTTTTTTACATGCAAGCATGCTTATAAGTACAATAAAAAGTAAACAATAACAACATAGAACAGACCAAAATAAAGCACAAACGTGCAAAAACATAAAGGAAGAAATGTACTAAACACAAAAACGCCGGACAAAACAACAATAATTACAAACAAAATACAACAAGCAAGTTAAAACACAGCGGAAAACAAAACACACCAAAATATGAAATATTCAGAACAAGGCTACCAGCACCTCAAACACACACGGAAAGGCACCAACACAAAACGAAAATAATAACAATAATAATAATAATAAAAATAACTAGAAAGGAAAACAAATATACAACAAACAAAAAAAGCACAATGGCAAAACACGACAAAAAGCATAAACACAGACCGGGTCACGCCAACAGCCTGAAGGGCACTCAACACTACACAAACAGCATCATAAAAACAAAGAACCACAAAGCATAACATAAGAACACGACATCCACAACCACACACACACCAACCAAACCCCGGACTGCACAGGAACCGGACACACACACACACACACAAAGCCACACAAACCCACCACAAACCGGAGCACGCAGGAACCGGGAAACAAACCCGCCCCACACACACACCCGACCCGCACCCACAACCATGCACACAAATGGAAACAACCCACAATACACAAAGGAATCATAAGCGAGGAATACATTTCTCAGAGACAGGAATATATTTCTCAGGGAACGAATCCCAAGGATACCTTCGCTTATAGGCCTCCCAAATCAAATACTCCATGTCGGTGGGGGGACGATCCCCCTGCCGCCGTGGGCCCAGCATAAACTCGGGAACCTCCAGATCAGGCGGAAACGGCCACTCCTGAAGATCACCGACGCAAGTCGCATAACGAGGCTGGGGAGCGCAAGCCACGTCCTTCGAGGTAGCAGACGACACCGATGTAGCGTACGAGGGCTGCCGAGACGGCCGCGTCGCCGTACGCATAGGAGCAGGGGACAATCGACGAGATGGTAACGCCTCCACCGAGACCGCAGGAGACGCTGAAGAGATGGCCGTAGACGGAAGAGGCGTCGACACCGCAGTCGATGAAACGGGAACGAGGAAGGGGTTACAGAACCTCCAGAGCGAGCAGTCTTTTTCAACAGCATCACCAAGCCACCCCGCTCACCGCGAACCTCAGCAGGGGGGAACCACCCCCCCACGAAGAACCGGAGCCATCCGAGGCAGGCGACGCACCCGAAGCAGGAACCGCAGACACCATATCTAAGGTGGAGGCCGAAACACCGGCACTGGCATCCTCAGGCAAATGCACCTCCGCCGTCACCGTAGTATGCAACGCAACCGGAGCCACCCCTCCATCGCCGGCAGATCTACAAGCATCGAAATCGCCAACGTCAGCCCACGCTGAAGATGAACGCCGGGAACGCTTAGGCTCTGGCCGCACATCATCAGACCCGGAGGCTGACTCAGACACACGCAACACAAGCCGGGCGAACCGATGCACGTCGCAGAACGGCAACATCCTCGACCACATGGGGCACCAGGCCAGGCACAGGAGGAATCGCCGGATCCACCCCATCACCCAGCACAGCCGGAACAGATGGCAAGGGTGCAGGGACAGATCAGACGCAGCAGAGGACGAACCGGAAGACGGGGGAATCGAGAAGGCTGTCTGAAGAACCCCGGGGACACTAGTCGGAGCAGGACAATCACCATGCGACGACACAACCTCTTGAAGAGAGGCGACAACAACAGGGGACGCACCAGGCGACGCAATAGGCGACACAGGGGGCACATCCGCGGCTGAAGAGACGTCCACATCCACCGCATCCTCCTCCACAGGAAGCGGCGGAAAATCCTCCTCATTGAAGAGGTTCACGGGTGCAACGGCAGGCGCAGCCTGATGGCCCAAGAGGCCACAACGATAACACGTCCGAGGCTGGCGGGCGTAAAACACCCGAACGTTGTAACCCAGAAGACGCACAGAGGACGGAATATCTTCCCGGAACCTCATGCCCAGGGTGCGAATGTTAGTCCTCACACCCTTAAGTGGACTGGAAGACACCACATTCATCCGCACACTAACCACTGCGCCAAACCGGCCGAAGTACCGCCGTAGCAGACCCTCCGGAAACTCCAATGGAGCCCCATGCACACTTACGTAAGTGAGGGCACCACTCCGATCAGAGAGTGACAGTGCCCGACAGTGCCCGCACCATCCGGCAGGGGTAATGTCCGCCCCTCGTATCGACTGAGAAAGTCGCGATACGCCAATTCCTTCGTGAACTTCACTATCGCTCGACGTGCCGTCACCAGCTCGACTCTATAAATGTTGATCACAGGGATATGAAGCAACTCGCACACCAGCGCTATCTCTGGGTACCCAGCCCAGCCGGAAAATTCGAGGCCCACAGACTGAGCCCGCAGTACAGGGGTGGAAGGGGACCCCCATCGTGAACTCCACGTTAGCACAGGCAGGCAAAGACACACCCGCCCTCAACCGGCCAAATTGGTAAACAACACCAACAGCCAGAGCGCCGAGGCAACACGTCTGTC